AGGAAGATACCCGGACCCAATATCGCGCCCGAAGACGCGCTGAGCTCGAACTGCCGGGCACAGGTTTTCCCCCCAGCCGCCTGTAAGCTCAACTCAGAACTGTTTGGAGCCCGCTACGACCAGTTAGAAAACTAGGAGCAATACCAAACTGTGGCCAATCGTGAAAAGATCGGGAGCTTGGAGACCACAATCCAGAACCCCCGCAAACTATGCAGCTACTCAGCAGCGCCGCCCTCTTCTCCCAGGGCGGCGCGACCTTTGGCCTTGGCCTTTGGCTTGCCTTTCCCCTTCCCCTTCTGGGGGGGGTCAGACTGATTTCTGGGGACTGCGTCGGATGGCTGAGATCTGAATTCTTCTCTGTACAGGCGCGTTTGTTTCGCGACCTGAGCTTTTTCTTTGAGTTTTGATGCCAGCCAGGTATTGAAGCTTGCTGTGTTAGCTTCGCCCGTAACTCCTATGGTGTCCTCCAGCATCATTTCGAGGCCCGAAAAATCTGGTGATTGGGGACTTCTAGCTACCGCAGTTTCGATCTGGACGATCCTACGAACCAAAGACTCGAAAGAAAGAAGACTTGCAATGTTGAGCTGATCAACTTCCAGAGCGGCCCGAAGCACATTACATAGAATTCTGTGATCATGAGCAATCATTGAGTGTTGATTGATGCCACTGCTCTTCAACCATGTAAGATGGTAATTTGACAAGTCGTTTGGACCACTGCGCACTGCCCGCAAAAATTCCAGAACGACCCGCGGCCCTTGAAGGGGCCAATCTTTCATGGTTTCTTCTTTCAAAAGGTTCACTGCATCATTCAAGCTAAGATACCTCCTCTGCTGAGAATCCCTGAAATCACCGAGAATTCGAAGGTCACCCCTAGCAGCATCTAGTGAAGAAATGAACGTAGCCTTGTTGCCAGAAGAAACCCTCCTAACAAAAACTTCGCTACCCTCAATCTCCACCAAGGCTGCATCACCAAGACTTACACCCTGCTCCACCAAATCTTCTCCAACCACCTCTCCAAACATGGATGAGCTAAGGTCTGCAACCACCCATTCATAGGCCTCGATGTCATCCACGGCAGTGTCATTGTACAAAGAAGCCAAGCCCTGAGCCCTGCGTCTGAGCCGGTCCAGGTCTGCTTTTGATATCTCATCAAAGGCATAAACATAGGGCGCTTGCGGGGCTGGAAAATCAGCGCGGCGTTGAAGGGGTAGATGATCTGTGGTGTGAAGATCGAGGCGTTCGAGGTCCTCGTCGGGGGTAAGTGCTATGAAAATCCCTGGCCCAACCTTGGCTAGAAGAACTCTATGATGCCAGTAAAAGCCAGCGGCGTCTTGGGGAAAATGCCGCAGCACCTGAGGTTCTTTGATGTCCAATGTTCTGGGTACGGGAGCAGCTGCCATATCAGTTAATCTTCTTTTTCAAGTCCGAGGGGCGGGTCGGCCCAAGCCGCACAATTGCCAGCTGATTCGATTGACTTGGCGCAGGTCCACTATGATTCGAGGGCGATGTTTCTGGGGTCTCAGTTCTCAGATTAATATCGCCAATTGGAAGTAGAGGGGTCCTACGGCCCAGTCTCCTACGATCCCACAAAAGCCAACCAAGCCAAACTAGAAGGCAAATCTCAGTCAAAGCCAAAAATTTGATCCCAAAGTACAAAATGCCAGTTTGTGTTTGACAATGCTCCAGAATCAGGGTTGATCGGCTTAGCGCCAACTTTGCCTCAGAGATCTCTGCCCGAAAGGTCTGCAACTCGACAGCAAAGGTGGAGGCTAAATCAGGTGCGACCACCGAGCGAAAGATATGGCTGACAAGACAGGCCCCCACCGCAAGAGGGGCAGGAACATTCATTCCACTTTTTTCTTGAGAACAAAGGCCACAATTTGACTAAGTGGCGATGAAACCTGGGGCATCTTCAGCTGTCACATGATAGAGACTCACCTAAAGGCTCCTATATATATGTATATACGTCTATCCCAAATGATCATGTTCATAGCTAGGGAGCATGATGATAAATCATTGGAATTGGGGTACCCATAAATCATTGGTGTTTTTTTTAGCTCCCTGCGCTCCCTGCAGACAGAGTATGAACTATGATTCAAGTTTACCTTACACATATCCATAAATGCAATATACAACTGCATGGGATGGATCCCTTGCAACTATCCCATAAAATGCTCCATATACCTTACACATATCCATTTGGGAATAGTAGTTGACCTTACAAATGATGATCCCAAAAATTATCCCATCCATATCTTCCCATGTATCATCCCATGAATCTCCATCTCCCACTATATCGGGTTTATCTAACATTTTTAATAGGTAAATTCACTATAAGTGGTATTTTTCAAATATGTTCCATAGCCCTATTTTCAAATATGCTATCACAAGTAGCTATAACTATATAGTAGCTATCCTCTGGTGGTAATATTACACATAGCTATACTGGTTGGTGGGTGCAATAATCATCTTTAGAAAAATATGAGTTCGTCAATGGGAAGGATGACATCCCATATATTATGGAAAATAAAATTCATGATTGAAACCACTAACCAGTATTGGGATATATTGGAATATGTTGGAGTATGTTGGAATATAGTGGAATACCAGTATGGTACCAGCTCTTCTTAATCACAAATAGCTACAATTTGAGCCCCCTATTAAAGGTTGGTTTAGATTCGCCCCAGTAACTACTTCGTTATTTGCGTACCATAAACCATAGTGACATTGAAGTTATTTGCACCAACTTAGCTATCGAACGGGGGCCTCACATTGTAGGATCCATGTATCCTATATATATATGGTAACATTTACCATCAATATACTCCCTTTATGTTAGCATATATATATATATACCATATAAAACTATAGTTTTCACCAGAGGATAGACCACCACATTGTGCTTCCCACATTTTGTGACGATCACCTGGATGGTCATCTTGCCCACCAAAGCCCTGAGCTTCGTGGCCTGCGCCGTTGCCCCGCGGTCATGTCATATGGGAAGATCCATGGGATTTTGATGTGAATCTTAGGGAGACCCCCTGGGTATATAACTGGTAAAAAATGCTGGTAAAATGAGTGGGAAAATCATAGATCATTAGAGAAGTACCCTCTGGTAAAATAACATAACTATGGAAAATCACCATGCTATTCATGGGAAAGTTCACTATTTCTATGGTGATTTTCCATAGTGATGTAACAAATTACCAGAAGGTACCTGCCAAAAAAAAACTAATCTTTATATAGCTGGTTTGTACAATTTTACATCCTTTACCATTGATCGCCAAAAACATAAAGTCATAAAGTACTACTATAACCAAAGTATCTAACAGAGTGTGACCCAGGAACAGGATGTTTTTTCTACATCATGTAACAATATCTTGGGAAAAACTGGTAGACTAACTAATCTGATTCTGGACATGTGTTTTTCTTTGGACCTGAAGTGATCATCCAAATCTGGTTGGTGGTTGAGCCTACCCCTCTGAAAACTATGAGTGAAAGTCAGTTGGGATGAAGAACTTCTCATATATTATTGTTAAAATAATATTATTAATATTACTATTGTATATAACATTGCCAATCTTAGATACCCTCATCTTCCACGACCTAGTTAAACTAGGCCTTCTCGAAAGGCCTAGTTAAACTAGGTCCCCGACCTAGTTTTACTTTTAAAGTAAAACTAGGCCCTGCGACTCGGGATCAAGTATGGCCATGTCCTGATCAAACATCTAAAGGCTGATCAACAATCATGAACATCCGTATGAATACCGCATGCTGCAGCATGCTGAAAAAAATACTGTATAGAGATCATGGGCTCGAGATATAATGAGATATGTAAGTGGTATTTTAGGAACATCATCACATGCTTGAACAAAAAACCTTTCAGACCTCACCCATCTAAGTTTTTGAAACCGCACTTCAGCTGGATTAGCAACATGAAACGAACTAAAAAACAACAAACTAAACAAATCATCAAATTGTGGCTGAAATGATCTAAGAATAGCCCAGACCTCCCATCAACATCATGATTGTGTAACAAAATGAAGTGCAGTGATTCTCATATTGATCCCCTTTAACATTACCTCTGATGAGGTATGAGTAAAAGGAAATGTTGCCTTCTACTTGTCAGTGTGCCACCGATTTGAAGGATGGCCGCTGTAAGCGTGCCTGTGCGATATTTGCTTGATCTGAAATTGTAGTTGGTGGTCTTAAAATCAAGTCTTCATGGTTTCCGCTGAAACTGACGCAAAAATACACACGAACAACGCGACACCCAAAAATGTGAAAAGACAGTGAAAAACTCGTGAAAAGGCCGTGAAAAACTCGTGAAAAGGCTGTGAAAAACTTCCACATATGGATAAATCTGGTTTGGGCATTCTGGAGTGGGATTCCATGTTTTCACCTGTGAATGTGCAATCAAATTGATGTGCATGTTGTGCATTTGAATTGAATCAGACCCTCCGGGTTCATGTTCATTCCTTTTCAGCCAGCGGTTTAACTTTTTATTTAAGTGTTCCCAATTGGAGCCGAAATGGCCCCTGCTAGTAATATTCCCGAGAAAGGAAAGGAAACAGCTCCTATAGCAGCAAGCAACCCTGAGCATCGGATATTGATTGTAATCAATAAGATCAGACAATTTCTTATTGATATTGATTTTCATGGTTCCTATTGAAAAAATCAATTGCAAACTGATCTTTTTGTATTGATCTGATTTGGTGCACATATTGATTTTCATGTGTTTTCCATTGGTTTTCCCTATTGATTTTCAAGCTGATGTTAAATGCTTTTCTTATTGATTTCTCTTGGCTTCATCAATTGAGAACCTGCAGTTTTGTGGCTTCAGAAAGGGACCTTTTGTGTCTCACCCTCAGCCTTGTCCAAAGGCTGTGCAGCTGCCTTGACAGAAGGTTGCTTGCAAAGGTTTATTCATTGTCACCAGCTGTGTGCCTTGACAAAAGGTTCTTTGTTCAATCCTCTCTTGACAAAAGGGTGGGTTGAGAATGAGTGGCAAAGGGGGGCACAAACATTTTGCCAAACCCTATGTGGACCCATACCTTCTCTACAAGGCTTTTCACACACATGAAGAGCTGCTCAAAAGCTTTGGAGCATATGAGACAGTCTCTAGGAGCCAAGCAACTGATGCCAAAGGTCTCATCCACTGTCTGCCACTTCTTGAAGACCTGCTGAAAATTTCTCCTTCTGGGGAAATTCACCCCAACCCCCTGAGACAAAGCATCATGAAACTGGTACAAGAGAAACCTGCAATGAACCAAACCGACTGGAATTGCCAAGTATGGACAAACATGAGGGCTGAGAGGGTGACAGTCATTTTGCTACACTTGAGAAGGTTGAAATCAGAAGAAGAAATGAGAAAGTGTGTGGGGAAACTGACAGGAAAGGATTGCCTCCAGCTCAAAAATTTGGTAAGCATGCTGGGAAATGATAGTTGTAATGGTGAGCCTCTTGACAAAAGAGATAAGGAGGAGCCTCTTGACAAAAGGGGTATGGAGGAGGGAAAAGAAGAGGAGGGAGAGGAGGGAGAGGAGGAAGAGGAGGAAGAGGAGGAAGAGGACGAAGAACAGAAGGCAGAGACACCCCCCCTTGACAAAAGGAGGAAGCTGCAGAAACATGAAAGTGATGTAAGTTTGAACTCATCAGGGTTCCCAGCTTGTCTGAATAGCCCTGGCCAGTCAGAACCCTTGCCATCCAAAGCTGACCCCTTGCCAAAAGGTGGTTCTTTCATGAAGAGGAGGAAGGGTCATAAGGTGGCTGCCCAATCTTCATCATGGAAGCCCCAAGACAAAGACACAGGCTTGACAAAAGCCATGGGGCTAGGGACCAAAAAGGAATCAACATCAAAAAAAAGCAGCAAAAAAAAACCTGCAAGCAGCACAGCCAGCTCAAGCAGCAACAGAAAACCCTGGCACAAGGTGTATGTTACATACCCAACCAACCCAGAAAGGGCCTACTTGACAGGCAGCACAGGGCCAGGGAAGAAAGCACAGCTCATCATTGAGGTTACCAGAAAGCAAAGCCCAAAGTACAGAGAGGTCATTGGGATCATCAAAAGAAAGCTTGAAAATGAACACATCACCAAGGAAGAAGCCATCAAGAGCAGGGCTGAGCTCCTGGGCTGGTGACCATGTTTTCCAATTTTTAAGCAGCTGCCTACCTTGAAAAAAGGTGTGGTGTTGCAAGTGGCACCATCTCCTTGACAAAAGGGGCTGGCCCCATGGCAAAGGTTTCACTATAGTTGCCCTTGCCAAAAGGGACTTGTGCAGCCATTTGCCAAACAGAAAAACAAAGCCAAAAACTGCAAAACATGCTCAAGTTTCAATACCAACCATCTAGGTTGTGTTGAATCATCACCTGTAAATATATATATATATATATATATATATATATTCCTAAGGTGTTTGCAAAATGATGGATATTGCATGAGCATACATAGGCAATTAAATATGGTGGTATACATATGTGTATGTGTTGGTTTACCTATGCATACTGTTTTTTTTGGAGAAGGGCAATTAAAAAAACAACAACAACAACAAAGGCATATGTGCACCTAAATCCAAGTTAGCCAATATTAGTTTATTCAAAGAATTTGTGGGGGGGATACCATTTTGATATGGACAGATTACAGTGTTGTGATGGTTTGGTTTCCCACAATCTTCTCAAAGAAACAATCGAACTCGTTGGGTTTTAGGGGCTAGCCATCAGTGTTTTCACCCTCCCATTTCAAAACAACATGCCACCCCCAAAGGTTAGCACTTCAGCATGTTGTGGGCCCTTGACAAAAGGGTTCCTTGCACCAGTGCTGTGGCCATCTGTTTGTTTTCTGCAGCACCTTTTTTGCTCAAACCTTTTTGTTTTCCACAGCACCTTGACCAAAGGTGCCTGTGGGGGTAGCAGCCTTGTGCCTTGACCAAAGGCCTTGTTGTGCAGCATCCTTGCCAAAAGGATGAAGAACAACAAAGGGAAAAAAGCTGGGTCAGGCACTGTGAGCAATGCAAGAAGGGCCAGGTTTAGAGAAGCAGGAATGAAAAGAGAGAATGACACTATGGAAAAAGAAGATGAACACTCCAAGAAGGTTGACTGGGAGAAAGACAAGAGACATGGCAACAAGAAACCACACCTGATGTCAGCCTTGGAGATCAAGTATAACTTGGCCAGCAAAGAAGAGAAGGCAGAATTGAAAAAGGACATGGAAAAAGAAAAACATGCAGCTTTTGACAAAAAAGCTGTCAAACCGGAGGATGTGAAGGAAGCAGCTGTTGACAAAACAGTTGTAAAGGAGGAGCCCACAGCAGCAGAACAGAAAGATGCCTTGACAAAAGGCAGTGATGCACCAGAACAGAAAGATGCCTTGACAAAAGGCAGTGATGCACCAAAGACTTTTGGGCCATCCAAAGAGCAACTTAAGAAAGGGAAGGAGCCTGAGAGGAAAAAAAAGCCACCAGTGCAAGAGGTTGTGGATTGGGGTGCTTCTAGCTCCAGTGAGTATGAGTACTACACTGAGACTGAAAGTGAATCTGAGGAGTCACCCCCCAAGAAAAGCAGAAGCCAGTCACCCCTTGACAAAAGGGGTCAAAAAAAATGGGTTCAAAAAGAAAGCCCACCCTTGGCTCTGCAAGAAGCTGAAAAGGTCGCAGTGGATTGGCACCACACCCTGGAATGGCATGACAATGTGTCCCCACAAAACATCAGGGCCTTGGATGCTTTGAAAGATGCTGGGTACCAGGTCTACCTTTGCAGTTTCTCAGGGTGGGACAGAGCCCAAGAAACCAAGAGACTGAGCTGGAAGGTATGGCAGGGCTGGGAAAAGCAAATCTACACAACAGAGAAGACTGGAAACTATGGAAAAGCACAGGCCTGCTATTACCACAACATCAAAACCGTCTTTGATGACACCTGGGAGGTCATTGATGAATGCAGCAGATGGGGTGTTGAAACATACCTGTGGTGTCCAAGTGGGATGAGAAATACTGGGAAGGGATTGATACCTACAGGTCCTTTGCCCAGGCTGTGCAAGCTTTCCTTGACAAAAGGTGAGCTGAAACACTTGAGCTGCACTGCTCCTTGACAAAAGGAAGAAAATGGCATCCCATGAAGCTGCACAGCTACCCCGCACTCTGTACAGTCCTCACTGGCAGGTCTCTTGACAAAAGAGATATGCCTGTAGTGTTTTTTTTGAGAAATGCCACTGCCTCTTGACAAAAGAGATGGTGGCTGTAGTGTTTTTTTTTGAAAAATGCCACTGCCTCTTGACAAAAGAGATGGTGGCTGCAGTTGGGTTTCAAGCCCCTCCTTGACAAAAGGTGGTGGCCCTGGTGAAGACCCAATAAATCAAATAAGCAAAAGTGAAATAAATAAATAAATAAACAAGTAAACAAATAAATAAATGAATGAATAAATAAATAAACAAATATATGTAACCAATGAATTATTAAATTAAACTATTTTTTATATTATTAAAGAAGTTATGTATATTGTTTCTTTTTTTGTTTGTGTACCTTTTTTGGTATGTTCACTGGTTGGAACAACAATGGAAAATATTTCATGCATATAAATTCAAGAATAAATAGAAATATATATGTGCAATAAGGTCATGTAAAACTTTTAGCCCATCAAATGAATGCTTGGAAACATTTGTTAAACCAGGTTTGCAATAAATTCTGAACACAACATTTCTCAAGGATTTCAATTTCATGAAACCTGAAATTCATATTAGCAATCCAACTAAAGTGCACAGAATTCAGGAAATCATCATGGGTTCAATGTTGCTTCTTTGGGATAAAAAAACAATTGTTAAGGCCCAACTAGTCAGGGCTTGATGGCTCTTAACCTTGGCAAAAGGTGATCAACAATGCTTTCATTTTTTTTAAAAAAAACAAAAATACAAATTTAACCAAATTTGACCAAATTTGACAAAAACCATGATTTGGTCAAATTTGGTCAAAATTGGTCAAAATTAATCAAAATGGTATTGGCTAGTTTTTGGCCAGAATATTTTGGAAACTGTTGAAATTTGAGGTGAAATTCAAGGTTCACTGTTTTTTTTTAAAGCCTTTTGTCAAGGCTGGCTGTGCATGAAAACTCTGGTTCATTAGTTTGAACTCTTTGGCATAGCTATATTTTTGGCCCAAGACAAATACCGCTATCCTTGACCACATTTTTTTATCCAAGCCTTGACAAAAGGTTTGGCTTCCAGGCTCCATGCCACCAAAAAAAAATCATGTGTGGAAAGGAATTTTGAAGAAACCTGCAGCCAAAGCTTTCCCTTGCCCAAAGGGCAAAGCCAAGGCAAAAGGTAAAAAACAGAAAAGCACCTTGACAAAAGGTGACCTTGCCAAGCTTGGCAAACTGAGTTTGGATGAGAGAGTGAAAAAAGTGAGTGAGGAAAACCAGTCTCCAGAGGAAGCTGCCTTGGCCTTGAAAGATTCCTTGACAAAAGATGAATCTGCCAAGATGTGGTCAAAACACCAAACATATTTGAAAGCCAAGCCAGAAGAGAGATCAGCCCATGAGCAACTCACAAAAAAGGAAAAAGGGCTTGAGGTAGTCCTTTGGTTTCTCAAGCACAAGAAAGGTATGTTCTTCCACACAGAAGCTTCCAAAGAAGCAAGTGAAACCTTGACAAAAGGTGAGAAATGGGTCAGTGAGATGAAAATGCTGCAAGAATTCAGCCAGGAAGAGTTCACCATGCACTTGAACAGTGGCAGGATTCTTTGGAGGTCTGACCCATGGACACCTGGAGTGTACAATTATTGCGACCAAGGAGACCAAAGCAAACAAACAGTATTGAAAAGGAAAAACAAAGTGACAGCAGGCCAGGAAAGGGAATTGGAAACAGAAGAAGATGAAAAGGAGTTTTTGGCCTTTTGGGGCAAGGGGGCTTTGGCCAGCATGCAAGAAGCTGAGGTTGCTTTCAAAGGCCAAGGTGCCTTGACAAAAGGCAAAAAAGATACCTTGCCAAAAGGTAAGGGAAAAGGAAGGGCCAAAAGCTTGCTGGCCCTTACAAATGGTGAAGATGAGAATAGCAAAGATGAAGATAAGGACAAGAAAACACCAGAAGAAGAATGGGCTGACTGCTTGACAAAAGCACAAAAGAGCAAAGAACAGCTGAGGGTGGCCATGGCCAATTTGCAAGAAGCTTTGGATGCTGCCACTGCAGCAGGCAGAACTTCCAAGCAGGACAGGAAAGATGCCACCTTAGCTTTGAAAGAAGCCCAGGAGTGGGAGCAAAAGCTCAAGGCAATAACAAGCAAAAGCAAGGGAGGCAATGTGGAGTCAGCAAAGCAAAACATCATAGGTGCAGTGGCAGCCACCAACAAAATCAAAAAGGAGGTGAAAGAGTTCAGAGCATTGGCAAACAGAAGTTTTTCCAAAACCAGCAAGAACTAGAACAACCAGCAGCCACAGGTGGCCCTTGTCTAAAGGGCCCTTTGGACCCTTGACAAAAGGGTCCATGTATAGCTGGCTGTGGCAAGGGGTAGCCTTTTTTTGATGATGCCATTACCTTGCCAAAAGGAAATGGCTTGCACAGCTTATTGCCTTGACAAAAGGTGATTTGCACCCCAACTGGTTTACACCTTTCCCTCCTTGACCAAAGGGGTGGTGAAGGGTTTGTGTTGGACAAACAGATTTGAGGCACCAAGCTCAAAAAGTGCTGCAGTACAACCAAGCAGTGGCTTAGGGGGTAATCCACCACCAAATCACCGTGTTTTTTGGGGGTATTGGGTTTCACCAAAACTTTGAAAATACATGGGGACCACAAAGTTTGGGAGAACCAGCAGGTTGGCTTAAGGGCTCTAAAAGGTTGGTGTGGCCAAGGGGTGTCTAAAGCATGTTTTGTGCAAGGTTTTGGTTCAAGCTTTTCCTTAAAGGAAAGCATGCCTTGCCAAAAGGTTTTTTCTTTAGTGTCACCACCATGAAGCCAGTAAAGAGGCTGAGGGGTACAGATTTGGAAGTGGCTAAGCAAATCCCTGAAACCTTGACAAAAGGAAAAGGGGAAGGATCCAAAGGGGGCTTGTCTGAGCTGCTGCTATCTCTTTGGAGCCATGGGCAGCTGAGTGCCAAGCTAGTGCAGGAAGTGGCACACAAAGCCATTCTAGATGGTGCTCAAGGCCAAGACCTTCAGAGAATAGCAGCAACAGGGTCTTTTGGGGCCCAGGGAGGAAATGTGCATAGAGATATGTGTGCACAATTCCTCAAAGATTGCCGAATCAGCAAGGGAATATCTGTGGAAACAGAATGCCAAGACCCTAAAACTTCCAAGCCTTGTTTGGACATGGCTGGTGTCATGCTCCCTCACCTGCTGTTTTCAGATATTTTCAACCACTATCCAGACCAGTTTGACAAAATCTTTGGCGTGGAAGACCTCGAAAGTTTTTGGCAAGGTGTCGAGTATGTGAAAGATGACAGGCTCATGGCTCACCCCATATGCCTTGACAAAAGGACTGGGGTTGCCAAAGGAAAGGTGCAGGACAAGTCCCTCACCATACCACTCTTTTTGCATGCTGATGGTGTAGAGTACCAGCAAAGAGATTCTTTGCTGGTTTGGAATTGGGGTGGCTTCCTCAATGCATACAGCAGCCTCACTTCTCACTTCTTGATTGCTGGGTTTCCCAAATCTTGTACTATACATGACAAAACTTGGAAACCCTTGATGGATTGGATCCTATGGTCCTTTGAAGCTTTGCAGGATGGTGTGCATCCATCCTATGGCCCAAACAATGGACCCTTGCCAAAAGGGTCTGTGTTTGAAAAGCTTGCTGGGCAACCTTTGACACAAAGGGGGTTCAGATGCTGCATCTGGTCAGTGCAAGGAGATCAGGAGATGTTCTCCAACATCCTGTCCTTGCCCCACTGGAACAATTACTCACCTTGCCATGAGTGCGACTGTATGCAGCCAATGATCAAAAAGGAACCCTGCCCAGCAGGCAAGAGTTTCAAACTTCTTTTGGCCAATGACCAGAATTATGAATACATCGATACACCTGCAGCCTTGACAAAAGGCCATGCCCACCCCTTATTCAACATCCCAGGGCTGACCACTAGGATGGTGAGGCAGGACGGTTTACATGTGTTGTTTTGCAAAGGTGTTTGCAATCATCTATTGGGATCTTTGCTGCACCATCTCTGTTATTTTCAAGGAAAAGGAAAACAGACCAAGAAACCTGGTGATAGACTAGCACTTATCTTCAACCAGGTCCAAGAAAATTACAGATTGCTTGGTTCCAGCACAAGATTAACAAATCTGAAACTCTCAATGATTTGTGATCCAAGGCAGCCACACAAAGAGTACCCAAAGCTTGACTGCAAAGGTGCTGAAACAAAACACCTCTTGGCAGCTTTTCTTCCGGTTCTCAAAGCAATGCTGGATGCAGATGATGCATTGCACCAGCACATGGTAGGAGCTTTGCAGTCAATGGTTGAGTTGGTGAATTTGATTGACAGAGCCGATATGTTCCCCACCCAAGAGGAACACCTTGAAGCTCTCAACCTTGACAAAAGGTTTTGTGAGCACTATTGGGGCCTCAACCAGTGGGCCCAAGAAAATGATAGAAAGCTCTATCATATAGTTTGGAAGTTCCATGCCATGCACCACCTCATCAAAAAAAAACAATTTTTGAATCCCAAGTATACATGGAATTTCAGAGCAGAGGACTTTGTTGGCAGGGTGTCACGATTGGGAAGTTCAATTGCAATGGGAGTGAAAAGCACAAGGCTAAGTGCTAAACTTTTGGTGAAATATCGAATTTTGCTCCATATGCAGCTCACCAGGCTTGGCTTTGAAATAGGAGCTGTCACACCAGACAGTGACCTAGAGTACTAGCCTTTTCCTTGACAAAAGGGAATCTGCACATGCTTGTGCTTTCTTGGCAAAAGGAAGTTGCTAGAAATCCTGTTTCACCTTGCATGGTTTACCTTGCCAAAAGGTAGGCCTAAGCCTCCTTGACAAAAGGATGGCCTATGGAGCTTTGACAAGTGGAAAAAAAGAGCAATTTTGGAGCTCCTTAGGCTGCTGAACTCTATATCCTTGGCCTTGAACTGTATTGATTTACAAGGTCAAACTACTGCTGTTTGCTATTGATTTCAAGCCCTACAAAAGTTGTTTTGGCTATTGATTTCCTTATTGATTTTCATGGCAAACTAAATCAATTAGAAATATTGAAAAAAATCCAAAATCAATATCTTTATCGTATTGATTACAATCAATATTCGATGCTCAGGGAAGTTAAAGGATCCCCAGAACTCACCGAGAATTTTGCTTTAGAGACTTGACAAGGATTTATCTTTTCGCCGGCTGTGGGTTTCACCAGTTTCACTTTTCCAATGTGTGAGGTATGAATAGTGCAGGTTTTGCTGGAGCTAGCAGGGGAAAAAAGCAAGCCAACCATGGCATGACAATGCCATAAAATGGCCATGGAATAAAACATATGCTTTGAGTCAAGTAAGTGTGTTCTTTGCTTGGACGTGCCATTCTTTTTGTCCCTTGGAAGCCATAGTACTATAGTTCAAATAGACATGGTTGCAAGCTGCTGTAGATTGTGTGGTCCATGGGCTGGGATAAGCGACCCTCAAAAACGGGGTATGAATAAAACAGGCTCTAGAAGTAAAACAGGGTCTTACTTGAAAGACCTAGTTTCCTGCGTCCTTTGGAAGAACTGGGATATATGGAATGGAAAGTCATCAAATTCCATGGTTCCAAAGCACCAACCAGATTACTATGCAAATCTTCGTCATGTTTCCTGGGAAAATCCATGGTTTTTTCGGGGCATCATACCGTTGGAAAATTCTTCTCCGATGGTCCCCACATAAAATGACCGTCGAATTGGTCGACTCCCCTGAGAAACAAAGGCAACCACAAGCCAGCGAATGTCACAGGATGGATTACAAACTTGGAAGAAGGGGAAATAAATATATACCCTCTGGTAATGACTAACATAGCTATGGAAAATGAACCATTTGTAGATGATGTACCTATTAAAATGGTGATTTCCATGGCTATGTTAAATAACCAGAGGGTATATATATATATATATCTCTTTGAACTCTTTAATGGTAGACAAAAATTGGGTCTCAATGGGTTTAGATTTTATGCCACAATGTGTAGACTCAAACCTGTTCTCGGGTAGGGCAATTCAACACGTGTAGAGTGTGAAGAATTTCGGAGGAATTGGAGTAGGGTATTCTCTTGCAACTGGAGTAGCAACTACAAAGAAACAAAAGCATAGCACTCTCTGGTTTAAAAGAACTGGTCCTCTCCTGGTATATTCACAGAGAAATTCAAAATACACAAAGGTAATTTACCCACCTTCGATGAAAGATTTGGGACACCAGCAAAAAAATAAGGAAAATATCTGGGGGCCCAACTGCAAATTGGGAAAAAAAACAATTGGCCGCTGGATCCTGCAAATTTTCCCCGGTAGGACGTGGAGAAAAGGGGATGCCGTACACTTCGCCAGCTATGGGACATGCGTTGTCACCGTGCAATTGGTTTTCCAGTGCGAATAATCTACTCGCACTTATGCCCAAAATACGTTTAAAAACATGTTTGTAAGGAAAAAATGGACGTGGCCAGAAACAAGGTACCCCAAATTTCGCTGTATACCCCAGAATATCACCACTATAGCAGCATACAGTGGTTTGTTTTGTACCCCAGTCACTGGCACAGTAGATCCACCATTCTCGATGCTCGAAAAAACCCATCTCCCGTCCGGGTAATCATTTACCTACAATATGTTGGATCGACCTTGTCATCATGTTCCCTATAAAGTCGCCAACGGATGTATTCCCCATTTTCAGACCCACCCATTACTCAGAATATGTCATAATTATTGCTTATACATCCCAGTATGTTCCCATTAACTCACTATTGAATCCCATGCAATTCAATCCGAGATGTTGTTTAAATCACCACTAACTCCCCATTAAATCATCATTGATTATAATTAAATTATATGATTTTGCCATAAATTCAGGTAAATATTCAAAAATGACCAACCACTTCAATCCCATGTTTTTCTTAGTTAAATCCCCATTACACCCCATTAAATCCCCATAGTTCAATCAGCGTTTTTCTTCCCATGTAATTCTCATGGTATCATCATTAATTCATATTAAATTCCCAATTCCCCATGAATCAGCATTTTCCCAAAAAATATTCCAACATTGCCATGAAATCAGCACGTTTTTCGAAACATTTCCCATCCAAATTCCAATTCAACCACCGGATTAATGATTATAGGTCCATAATCCATAGATATATATAATTATCCAGTAATGAACATGAAAATATCCCTGGATGATTAATTAACAGACCATCCATAGGCCACGGCCACAAACCAACTGAACGCTATCGACTGGGGGCTCCATCCTGTGGATGATTAGTGACTAGACAATAGATTAGGTCTATAATCCATAGAATTCCAGAAAGAATTCCATAGAATTCCATAGATATATCCAGTAATTCCATAGATTAGTGACTAACCAAGGTGGACCCAACCATTCGACAGCCAGGTGGGCCTCGTGCTTCGCCACCGCCGCTTCCTTCGCGCAGTGTGCCGTGGCCAGATTGGCCTCGTGGGCCTCTTGCTCCGCAGCGACCACCGACTCCTGCGGAGGGTCGTCGTTAAGGTCCGGTGCGACCACCGGGGTCTTTAAGGAACCAACAAAAAGATGGGTTTCATCCGGCAAAAATGCTGGTTTCATAGATTGTAACCAGCAAAAATGGTGATTTCATCGAATTTCACCAACAAAATGAATGATTTTAAGGGAATTTACCCACCGAAAATTGTGATTTCATAGGATTTCAGCTTGAAAAATTGGGAAAGGGACCCAGGGATGAGATTTCCGCAAGAGTGAGGGCTTGACCGGTAGTGTCCATCAAGTATTGGAACATATCCAACGAAATGGTTGATTTTCCAGCAAAACAATTACCCTCTGGTAAACTAACATAACTATGGAAAATCACCATTTTTAATAGGTAAACCTCTGGGAGTCTGGGAGAATGAGAACCTCACTAGACTCACTAATTACCCTCTGGTTATGACAAACATAGCCATGGTATAGATGGCCCATAGAAATTAGATGGTTTACCGAACTTAAAAATGGTGGATCTTTCCATGGCGAACTGTTAAATAACCAGATGGTAAGATTTAACCAAATATCAGTGGAACATATGAATCTTTAAGCAACAGAAATGGGGTCTTCAAGCAAATATAAATGGGGGGGTTATCATTTCCACACTTGCAAAATTTGCGCCGTGACAGACTCTCCCAGTCTTGTCACCTCGAGTTCACATTGGACCGTGCAGGCCCATAAAGACATGATTCTCACTCAACAATTAGGAACTATCCATGAAACATATTGATTTTCCAGCACATCTGAAATTTTCACTGCCCTATAAATCGAGGTTTTAATGAGAAAATCACCTGTGAAATGGGTGATTTCCATATTTGATTACCAGAGGGTAACTTCCCTTTCCCCGGTTGTAGGAATGCAGCGTCAAATTTTTGTCAAATGGGGCCCTTTGCATTGCAGGATTTTTAAGAAGGGATCAGTATGCCCATTGCGCGGAGGACATCTGCATATTTGAACGTTGAACAGTATTGGTACACTGGCTTGTCAGATCTTTCCCTCAGCCACGCCACAGCTGTAAAATCGTTTTCAACACAGAGTTGCGCACAGGGTGGACACGGCACCGCACGCGCCCTCCAGCATGACACCTCTGGTACTTGTCGAACTCACACAAGCTGAATTGGATGTCGGACAAGCGGAGCCTTCTCCCGCCCTTGCATGTCGTGGATTTCTTTACCCTCTGGTAAACATTCAGATGGCTATTGAAAATGGCCATAAAATAGTTGATTCATTAAAAATGGTGATTTTCCATCGTTTTTTGTATGTTTACCAGGCTGGGTAGTTCTCTATCAAAACGCCATGGCCTTGGCGCAAGCTATTCTCCATTGGACTGGACACGTCTTGCTATTCTGTGAACAGTCCTCGTCTTGCTCCTGGTCCAGGGTGGCAATAAGAATTTTCATCATGTAATGTAAAATGTATTACCCTCTGGTAAACTAACATAACTATGGAAAATCACAATTTTTACTGGGTAAATCAACTATAAATGGCCATGTTCAATAGCTATGTTTGTTTACCAGAGGGTACCAGTTCAACCTGATGTGTTTTTCTTTGAACACACAAAAAATACATCATCAGTAATTCTGATGAAAACACCATGTGTTCACCCATGACACATAGTTGACTATATATCCCCTACATTATCCTCCTACCCCCCTAAGTCCGGATTAAATAACAATGCCATTGCGCATAACTGTTTGTTATATATACATGTATATCATGTAATATCCCCATCAAATACTCATGATAATATTCCCATATATAGACAATTGACTATCAATAAACATCATCAATATGTTGGTTAAATATTGTTTTTGGAAATAACAATGTGCCCCCCAGTTTTGTTTGTTGTTGTTGTTTTTTTACACCCATCAATATACTTAGTTCATGGCCATAAACCCAAGTGAGATTGGATTTATATACCAACTTAGCTATCTAGGGGGCCTCATGTTGCATGATGATAGATTATAATATTATGATATTGATACATTATCTACCTTGAATTATATCTGATAATATAGTTGATAATTAATGTTTGATATTATGATCAATGACGATATTATCTACCTGACTGCGTACATTAAAAAAAAACATGTGGCTGCTTCACTGGCGCAATCCCTCTCTCGTTTCGGCGGGAAAAATGGGTTTCTGTTGCTGAATGAACAGTGTTTGTCATTTTCTTGTTAAGCTACATCTCACATAAATTTAAATGTTGATGATATCAATTAGTATCAATTAGTACCATGACTTGCTGAAATGGTTGCTGAAAAATGTCTGATATCTTTTGATAAATGATGATAAATGACAAATCCTGAAATCCAGTTACTACATGTGTTAATGTATGCTGATATAAATGATAAATGACAGATCTAATATCCTGATAAACATCCAAATATACATCCTTACAACAAATGATACATCATAGATACAATATATTATATAGTCTATTAGATTTATCTCATTTATATATATATATATACGGTAACTACATTTAAATATATGGATTTTTAAATATACGAACAGGTATTTTAGACTACCTCCGGGAAGGTTTTCCTTGGCCCGTCCAGCCATTTAAACATACGGAATCCAATTCATTTAAACATACCGTAACTACATTTAAATATACGAACTGGTATTTCATATTACCTCCGTGGCCTCGCGAACTGGCCTGCCCTCCACATATTTAAATGTCGTTACCGTATATCAGGTATATCCCCATTGTAGTTACCCTCTGGTAAACGTTTACATAAGTATGGAAAATCACCATGCTATTAATGGAAAAATCCACTATTTCTATGGCAATTTTCAATAGCTTTTTGTATGTTTACCAGAGGGTATATCCATCATATATCCTAATAAACCCCATTGAATCCCATTGAATCACCATTGAATCACCATTGAATCCCATTAAATCCCATTAAAACCCATTGAATCACCATATGGGTAGGGTAAATCGACGTTTCAACCTCTCCAAAAAGGTCACGTCAACGTCATCGGCCGTCCTTAAAACGCTCCACGTCCACCTCTGCTTCGTGCGCCTGCTTTGCGGCGATCTCCGCCTCGCTTCGTGCGCCATGTAACTTGGTGCCACTTGGTGCCAGTGATGTATGAGAAATTTTTCGGGACGCGAATCATTACATCACATCACATCAGATGACTGTACATGACATAACATGTCATGACATGACATATATATATATTCATATGTATGTATATATATATATATATTACAGATAAATGTGTATGTATATGTAAATTTGTTGAGGGACAGCAAAATATGGAAACGATAATACACATTTTCAGACACACCCAAGCCATCATATGTATATGATTTACATATATGTTGGTCATACATCCCATACGATATATATATATATATACACGTATATCACGTTTAATCACCATGAAACGCCATTTATTGTGGTCAATTACTATATAGTAATTCAAAAAAACAACACCATTCATTAATATAAAAGATCCAACAAAATCCCCATATCCCTCGAAAATCACTGGAAAATCTCCATATCCCTAGAAAATCACTACAAAATCTCCAAATTCCTCGAACGTGTCCTAAAAAACAATCCCAATTTCCCTATCAAATCCCCACTTTCCCTAGTAAATCTCTATAAAATCCCAATAAAAAAAAGTCATGGTCTCCCGATTTGAAGAAGCCGCGCCTCACGCATCCGACGATCAGCCTCTGCGGCCAAATCAACGGCCTGGCGACGGAAGTTCTGTACGAAAAAAGGGCTTCATGTCGAACTACAGGATGGGCCCCCCTCAGTGATGTTTGTTGGTTGATAAACCATGAAATAATCACCATTAACTATAGGTATATCTACCATAAACCATTGTTAAGCCACTTATAAACCAACTTAGCTATCTTGGGGGCCCCATCCTGTATGAATAACTATTTTTACTGTATTTTACTGGTACAATATTAACCATGAATAATAAAATAGTTTAACACCCCCAAAAATAATACTAAGAATAAAAGTTAACTTCATGTACAATATTAACCAGTACTAAGAATAAGACTATAATAATGTAGTTGCTGATAATAATAATAGTTAATATTACTTAAACTACTTCAATGTTGAGATGGTAGTACTACTTCAATGTAGTTATTTGTACTATTTCAATTCATAGAACTTCTATATTTGTTAGTAGTTGTTAAATTTTGCTAGGTCCTATGGATAGGAGTTAACAATATGTTTATATTGTCATGGTATGGTCATAGTTAATAGTGGCCCATGGCCACCAATCAATCCTGCATTCATGAAGCCCACAACTGGAGGAGCACCCCGGGATTTTTTGTTTTTGAAGTTTGTTGATCCAGGGTTGACATTAGTTACTTAATACTACTAGTTAATAGAGTAATAGTAGTTATAGTAATAGTAAAAATACAATTACTAGTTCATATAGTAGTCATGGCCCTTTGCCAGTTGTAAATGGTCATAAATGGGATTATACATTCCATATATGGGCTGACTTCGTGACTTATAACTGGTCAGGCCAATAACTGTAGTGAATAGTAGTTCATAGTAGCTAATAGCATTCCATATCACGATGTAATTAAATCATTGTTTTGTTTTTTTGTGGTAAGGTTTAATAGTAGCACTGGTGTATCATCAGTATGGGTTTAATGTAAACAGTCAATGATGTGGATTAGATATTGATTTAAAACAGTGACGTAATGATGCTTTAATAATAGTTACTCGCTATATCCAATCATGAATGACCATTGCTATAAAATTTCTATAGTGATTGCAAGTTCCTTTAAACTTCAGTAAACTAACATCACTTCGAAAAACCTAGGTTTTCCCTTGGTTTTCCTCAAGAAATGTATCTAACATGGTACATGTTCAATATCCTAATTTATCAATACTGGAGGATACTTACTTTCTTTTGTCGTACAGTACAAGGTGAGGCCCCGAAAGAGTTAAGTTGACGCACACAACTGGCTTAATGTTTGGGTTTATTGGGGGGATAAAGAACTAGTCAACAGGTTTATAAACCAACTCATAACTGAGGGGCACCACCTTGCATAGGAAAATGACATCATGGGTTGTTTAATTTCAAAAATTCAGCAAATTATGTTTTTAGGTGAACATAAACCAACGCTCACATCACGTTTGGGTGTCTTACCTTGTAGGGGCGGTTTCTCCATCGATTGTCCCATTGGGCAATACAGCCTCCAAATCCGCGACCGTGAGGGGAACATATCAATTCATGTGCCTCATTGGAGGTACAGTAACCAATCTAAGGTCCATGTAATGTGCAGCCCCCTGCAGCCGACATTACACAGCAAGACTAGGCAACCAAGGCAGTAAAGACAATTCAACGATGTTGGGACTAGCAGGGTCATGAATCATCTGGTAAATGAATGTAAATGATAACAATTCGCCAGAATAAAATAAGGCTTTGGGATAGTTACCCCAATCCAATCACCATCTTTCCAGTGACGTTGAGGTCGCTATCAGAGTATACATAGATCATGATGCAACTGTGGGAATCAATATCCCCTACTATATCAATATCTGTGGGAATCAATAGCGTGGTAATACTCTGGGAATATCCTAATATCCCTAATACCTGGGAATAATCAATCTTGTTCAGATTCCCACAGATCAGATGATTCATAGTATTCAATGGATGGATTTCTTGATATCAACCGTTGGGAACATAAAAAAAAAAAACATGAAACGCATGACTCTATGGGGGTATGGCAATCTCCTACCATGGGTATGTTACTAGCCTTGAACATGACATCATATGATATGTACCAGTTGGCTTGCATCTGCAACCCGAACTGTCGTTCAACTTCTCGCGCATGCGCGACCAATGCAGCTCGGGTTGAAAACTTCAAAGCCGAAGCGCAGCGCAATGCTGCTGCATGCCACCGCGACAGGTTGCAAGCCAAGAACTTGATACTGCAGCTGGCCTCCGCGTCCTTCCTGCAGAACCAGGTGAACGTGAATGGGCGTTCCGTCAGATGGCGTTACGCCGTCCGACACACACACGTAATCAGAAGGGATGCCCAGGGCAGGCAATAGAGCATGCAAATCACCAGTCTGGAACTTCCGAAGTCGCAGCGCACTGCCACGAAACCTGCAAATTGCGTCTCATATTCGCATAACATGACAGCACTGCGGACATATGATGTGTGGCACTGACATGGTCACTATGTCTGGAATGTAAACATAAATCATATAGCGGTGTACTGGTAAGCTCCCAGATCATGACCGCACCAGTGAGTTCCTTAAAAAAAAGATACCGCACAAGGGGGTGGCCGAAGTTTCAAAAATAGGAAACCTATAGTATAGGAGAGCTTGGTTGTTGTGAATCAGGGATGGCAGAGCGAAGCCACTGATGGACTGAAAGGTGTTTGATCTCTCTCTTTTTTCCTCTCTATCTCTCTTTTTTCTCTCTGTTTCTTTATCTTTCTCTGATTATCTACCTACCTACCTACTGATCTATCTGTCTATCTATCTATTTATCTGTCTGTCTATCTATGTCCCTATCGATCTAAATAGCTGTCTAGTTTTCTAGCTATTTGTCTATCTATCTATTTCCCTATCGTTCTAAATAGCTGTCTAGTTTTCAAGCTATTTGTCTATCTATCTAATCTATCTAATCTATCTAATCTATCTAATCCATCTAATCTATCTAATCTATCTAATCTATCTCATCTATCTAATCTATCTCATCTATCTCATCTATCTCATCTATCTCATCTATCTCATCTATCTCATCTATCTCATCTATCTAATCTATCTAATCTATCGAATCTATCTAACCTATCTAATCTATCTAATCTATCTAATCTATCTAATCTTTCTAATCTATCTAATCTATCTAATCTATCTAATCTATCTATCTATCTATCTATCTATCTCTATCTATCTCTCTCTCTATCTATCTATCTATCTACCTATCTATCTATCTACCTACCTATCTAATCTATCTAATCTATCTAATCTATCTACTCTATCCAATCTATCTAATCTATCTAATCTATCTAATCTATCTATCTATCTATCTATCCATCTATCTATCTATCTATCTATCTACTTATCTATCTATCTATCTATCTATCTATCTACTTATCTATCTATCTATCTATCTATCTATCTACTTATCTATCTACTTATCTATCTACTTATCTATCTGTCTATCTATCTATCTATCTATCTACTTATCTATCTACTTATCTATCTACTTATCTATCTGTCTATCTATCTATCTATCGGTCAATCAATCAATCTATCTATCTAGCTATCTAGCTATCTATCAATCAATCTATCTATCTATCTATCTATCAGTCAATCTATCTCTCTATCTATCTATCTATCTATCCATCTATCTATCTATCTACTTATCTATCTACTTACCTATCTATCTATGTATCTATCTATCTATCGATCTGTCTATCTATCTATCTATCTATCTACTTATCTATCTATCTATCTATCTATCTACTTATCTATCTATCTATCTATCTATCTATCTATCTATCTACTTATCTATCTACTTATCTATCTACTTATCTATCTGTCTATCTATCTATCTATCTATCTACTTATCTATCTACTTATCTATCTACTTATCTATCTGTCTATCTATCTATCTATCGGTCAATCAATCAATCTATCTATCTAGCTATCTAGCTATCTATCAATCAATCTATCTATCTATCTATCTATCAGTCAATCTATCTCTCTATCTATCTATCTATCCATCTATCTATCTATCTATCTATCTACTTATCTATCTACTTACCTATCTATCTATGTATCTATCTATCTATCTATCTGTCTATCTATCTATCTATCTACTTATCTATCTATCTATCTATCTACTTATCTATCTATCTATCTCTCTATCTCTCTATCTATCTATCTGTCTAATCTAATCTAATCTACTCTAATCTATCTACTCTAATCTACTCTAATCTAATCTAATCTAATCTATCTAATCTATCTAATCTATCTAATCTATCTAATCCATCTCATCCATCTTATCTATCTAATCTATCTAATCTATCTATCTAATCTATCTAATCTATCTAATCTATCTAACCTATCTAACCTATCTAATCTATCTAATCTACCCAATCTATCTAATCTATCTAATCTATCTAATCTATCTAATCTATCTAATCTATCTAATCTTTCTAATCTATCTAATCTATCGAATCTATCCAATCCATCCAGTCTATCCAATGTATCCAATCTATCCAATGTATCCAATCTATCTAATCTATCTATCTAATCTGTCTATCTAATCTATCTAATCTATCTAATCTATCTAATCTATCTAATCTAATCTAATCTACTCTAACCTAATCTAATCTATCTAATCTATCTAATCTATCTAATCTATCTAATCCATCTAATCCATCTCATCCATCTTATCTACCTATTCTATCTAATCTATCTATCTAATCTATCTATCTATCTATCTAATCTATCTATCTAATCTATCCAATCTATTTAATCCATCTAATCCATTTAACCTATCTAATCTATCTAATCTATCTAATCTATCTAATCTATCTAATCTATCTTATCTATCTAGCTATCTAGCTATCTGGCTATCTAGCTATCTATCTATCCATCTATCTATCTGTCTATCTGTCTATCAATCAATCAATCTATCTATCTATCTCTCCGTCTATCTATTGATCAAACTGTCTCTCTATCTATCTGTCTATCTGTCTATCTATCTATGTATCTATCCATCTATTTATCTATCTATCTTGGTATCAAACTATCTGCCTATGTCTGTCTATCTGTCTATCTGTCCATCTATCTGTCTATCTGTCTTTCTGTCTATCTATCTATCTGTCTATCTGTCCATCTATCTGTCTATCTATCTATATGTCTATCCATCTATCTATCTATCTATCGATCTATCTACCTATCCATCTGTCTATCTATCTATCTATCGATCTATCTATCTATCTATCTATCTCTGTCTGTCTGTCTGTCTGTCTGTCTATCTGCTAGATTGAAAACGAAGCTCTTTTGCGAGACTTCCTCATTTTTCGAACTTAACAACATCAAAAACAGAACAATTCTGCGACACTTCTTTTATTTTTCAACCTAACAACGTACTGCTAGAAACTGCGAGACTTCCTCATTTTTCGAACTTAACAACATCAAAAACAGAACAATTCTGCGACACTTCTTTTATTTTTCAACCTAACAACGTACAAAACTGCAGCAATTCTGCGAGACCTTCTCATTTTTCGAACTTAACAACGTCAAAAACAAAGCAATTCTGCGAGACTTCCTTCAAAAATGGACGGTTGAGTGCAGCGCTGGGAGCCTCGTACCAATGCGTTTTGCGATTTTTCCACTCCACCTGTGTAAAGTACTGCGCCTGCCACGAAAAATTGATGCCAGGTCATACGACGTGCTGCACCTGTCACGCAAAATCATCTCAGCAAACCTGAAGATCTGATACTCCAAAACGCAACCCCTCTCAGGAAATGAGCGCCCTGACCTCCGAACATCTCTGATGAACATGTCTTTTGTACTGCACCTGCCACGCGAAATGCATCTTTGAAGATCTTCTTCAAATGCCCCACGCCTGCCATCGTTTCTGGAAATGCTGCAAAACCCTCACGTTTTGCTCACTTTTGACAAGGTGCACAATCCTTTGCGCCTGCCACGCAAAACGACATCTGAACCTCCAAAAGTGGTCCGACACTGGGGTGTTTTGCACATTTTCACTTCGAAATGTGCTTCGCGCCACAACGGTGTGCACTTTTTCGACATCGCAACTTCCAAAAGTGGTCCGACACTGAACTGTTTTGTACATTTTCACTTCGAAATGTGCTTCGCGCCACAACGGCGTGCACTTTTTCGACATCTCAACTGCCAAAAGTGGTCCGCACATGTCCGCACCTGGTGTGTTTTGTGCATTTTCACTTCGAAATGTGCTTCGCGCCACAACGGCGTGCACTTTTTCGACATCTCAACTGCCAAAAGTGGTCCGCACCTGGTGTGTTTTGTACATGTTCACTTCGAAATGTGCTTCGCGCCACAACAGCGTGCACTTTTTCGACATCTCAACTTCCAAAAGTGCTCCGAGACCCAGGTGTTTTGTACATTTTGACTTGCAAATGTGCTTCGCGCCGCAACGGCGTGCACTTTTTCATCTCTCATCTGGCCAGCTGGCTCCGCACCCGCCGCTTTAGCGAGCCTACTCTTCGACCCTCCGGAGCCGCAAATCATTGGAAAAACACTGTGTTTCGCGACTTTCCTACCTTTTCTCGCATCTGCATCTTCTTTCTTCTTACTCTTTCTCTTCTACTCTTCTTTCTTCTAATCTTTCTCTTCTCTCTGCCTCTTCCCTGCTCTGCTTTTCATCTGTCCATATTGTCGGAAGTTTGACTTCTAAACTTCCTTCGATGATTCATACTTCTTGTGTCCCCTCATTCAAATTTGCTCTGGGTAAAGAAACGCACAATTTACGAACCTGACATCAAATAAATCAATTCATGTTGGTTTATAAACTCACAACTACATCCTATGAATGATTTCTTGAACATACTAAAAGTATATAAAGACATCATCCCCACATATGGCATCCCATTACATAGATATATGGACTATTCTTAAATTACCCTCTGGTAATCAAACATAACAATGATATTTTCCCTGATATAGTTCAATGATTTTCCCATTCAACCACCATTTACCATCAAATGGCTGCATGTTCCATCGTTTTGCTGCATTTTCGCATGATTTGTAGAGATTTTCAGGGGATGTTCCATGATTTTCCGACATTTTAGCCGATTTTCCCAGGATTACAGGAGATCTTCCAGGCCACGTATGTGATTTGCCGCCTGGCAGCATCTGGCGACAACGGTTCCCAAACGGTCCGCCTGGCTTCTCTTTTTCTCCATGGCTGCCGCAACCTGTTAACCCAATCGTTGCAATGTGGGGCCCCCCAGTTATAAGTTGGTTTAAAGAAACCCATAACTATAGTTATTTGCGTACCATAAACCATAGTTATTGGAGTTGTAAACCAACTTAGCTATCTTGGGGGCCCCACATTGTATGGGATGGACATGGGATTTCAATGGGAATGTCAAGATACATGATCTATGGGAGATCTTCAGGATACAAACATGGAGGTACGTTAGTACATGTTAGTACCATATATCAGGCCATATGTTGTTAATAGGCCTGAAAAATAGGCCTTATATCTGGAAGGTACCTCCCAATTTAGGCTCCTGAAATGGCCATTGAAATGAGGATTAATGATTTGTTTTTTTGTGTGGTGATGTCGTGGGGATTTAATGTGACTTGATGGTGGTTTGATGATGATTTAATCGGAATCTTGGTCAAATACTGCACCAAGCAACACATTTCTAGGATGGATGAACATTGGAGTCAGTCGTCGCATATACATGTTTTACCAAAAAAACATAAAGTCTTCATTTGTGTACGTACTCCTTTTTTCTCTCGGGTTGCTTCCAACACTTGTCGGGAATCTTGTTGGCGTTCTACTCCAGTGTTTGAAAAACGTACAGGATGGGGCCCCAGTTAGCGTTCAGTTGGTGCAACTAACTATAACAACAATAGTGTATGATACTCATAATAGTTATTATACATGGGCTTATATTTAAATCTTACACTAAACCAACTATTATACATGGGCTTATATTTATGATATTTCCATAAGATCTTACAATATCTTACAATGATATTTCCATGGCCAGTTCCACCAACCCTACCCCAATCGGAGTTTTGACATTGCTGCAGCCTCGGCACGGGGATCACCATGACACATAATAAAAACCACGAGAGGAGACTCCCATGAACTCATATCAAGTCGGTTATATATACATATGTATGTATATATATATATTTATTTATTTATCTAAATATGTATAAATACGTAAATATGTATAAATATCCCATACAAAATGTATCCATTAAATATGTGTAAGTTTGTCAAGTTGGTTATATCTCTAAAATGTCTCCAGTAAATATGTGTTATATAATTCAATGAACCAATAATAAACCATCCCCAAAATCACCATAAATGAGTGGTACAAACCATCCCCAAATGGTAGGTTTGTTATTAGGTTTTCTACATTATTCATTATATATATACACGATTATACACGTACCTTTTGGTTATTCAACATAACCATGGAAGATGGCCCATTTATAGATGATAAACATGATGTTTTACCTGGTTATAAAATGCCGCTTCCCACATTCATCCCATCAAATTACCAAAGATCTGATTCAATTATAATAATTCATCAAAATGCAAGTTCGGCTACATTATTGGAATAATTCCTGGAATCCCAACCATCATTCCAGTGAGGTCGCAGTGAAGTCGTTATAATTTACCCATACATATATATATATATATAAATAATACAAACTATTTATGGTCAACCAATAGAATCTCAAATTATAAATTAACATAAATTAACCATTAATGTGGCTTCGTAAAGATCAATTATGGTTAAATTACGGAAAGAAATTAGTGATGATCAATTATGGTCATTAGTGATTATCAATTATGGTTAAATTAACATCAATTAACCATTATCTAGTGGCTTTAGTAATGATCAATTCTATCATTTATGGTGGTGGGTAAATTTGTGTGGCTTAAAAAATTGAGAACATTACTAACCCATTAACCCACATCATAAATCTGGTGGGTAAAAAACATGTGGCTTAAATAATTGAGAAAATTACTAAGCCACATTAATCTGGGTAAATTAGAATATTTCACTAACCTGAATCTTGCCGCCATTTGGGGATGATTTCCCTAAAATAAACCATGATTCCAGTGAGGGAGATCAGTGAGGTCGTTATAATTTACCCAGATTAATGGTGGATAATTACTACCCTCTGGTAAACTAACATAACTATGGAAAATCGCCATGTTCAATGGAAAAATCCACTATAAATGGCCATTTTCAATAGCTATTTTGACATAACCAGAGGGTAACCCACTTTTTTTGGTGGATAACCCACATCTCCAGCAGAATGATCTGCACCTCCCACGGAACGGCCGGTTCACGGCCTCCTTGGATCTGGCTTTGGCCTTCTCCGATCGTTCGTTGGCCGCTAGGGCCTGGGAGTGGCAAACCAGTGAGTTTTACCTGGTGAACATACAGAAAACGATGGAAAATCACTACTTGAATAGGTAAATCAATGGTAAATCAATGGAAAATAATCATTTACCCTCTGGTAAACTAACATAGCTATGGAAAATAATCATCTTTAATAGGTAAATCACCTATTTCTATGGTCCTATTTCAGAGGGTAATGGTGATTTGACTAAAAAGACTTGGGGTTTCACACGGTTGAACCTTTGAATGGTGATTTCATGGAGACCTTTTATGGTTATTTCCAGGGGGGTTGTTTATGGGATACAAAACCAACAATGTGATTAAATGGGGAGTTGATGGTGATATAATTCCTTTGAATATAACTAACGGCATCAATAGTGGTTTGATGGTAGTTAAATGAGATACCGTGGTGATTTAATGGTAAGCCACAAAACAAACATGAGCTGAACCGGTGATATAAGCTGATTTAATGGGAACATCATTGGAGTATCTAACCAACGTATATGCTTGTTGAGCCTGTCTGAAAATGGGTGATTTATTATCTGGTTATTTAACAGTTCGCCATGGAAAATCACCATTTTTAATCGGTAAACCATCTATTTCTATGGGCCATCTATACCATGGCTATGTTAGTCATAACCAGAGGGTAGTATTTAGCAACCCACATTGCCATTTGACAGAGATAATCATGCTGAACCAGGGGATGGAATGAGGCACCCTGCATCAGACAAACTCCAATATCACTGACTAATCATTCATGGCAATGACTAGCAGTGATCATTAATGAAGATATATATATATAACTACTACTGTTACCAGCACTATTACTCAAGATGATGAGCAAATAAGAAATGATGATGACAATCACAATAATGTGGCATGGAAACAAATAATGAGGATGACGTCTGGTTCGTTAACTATGGTTCAACCGCAGAGTGGTTGAGAAAGTTTGCCTTGCCCAAGACAGGTGATACCTTGGGAGAAGTTATGGACATTTCAGCTTCAACATGTCCACAGGAATCTATCCCCATATCATACGCCCATATTGCATCATCTATTATATATTAATTACATTACCCACATTACATTTCCCATGTTGGACATCATTATCATGTTCGTTATAATATATATATATATGTATATATATACTACACAAAACATCTGATTATATCCCCATATATCTCCCGTGAACTAACCACTTACAACAACCAAAAACATATAAGTAACAGTCAGATATCACTACCGCAGAGATATATATATATGTATACATATGATCCTCACATCATATCCCAAAGTCCCCTTGGAATAAATGAGACAATCTACAGTTCCCCATGTAGTAATACTGTGGTAAACCCAATTTGCCGAGCCTATCATTTGGGGATGTTTCTTGTGGTGAGAACCCATTTTTGGCAATACATGGGGTGGTTTGGGTCCTTAGGTGTACCGCAAACTAATCTCATCAACCTATGAAACACATCCTAAATGGTCCCAAATATGTGAACATCACCTACTAAAGCGTGGTTTCCTTTGTGGCGTTCTTTTTTTTAGGCGGAGGGGATTTTTCTGCACATTTCCGGTTCATTAAACACCAATAACCACTAAATATAAGGCTTATTAATCATCTATGGCCGGAAAAAAACCGAGGGGGATGGTGTGACAAGCCCAGTGAAATTGGAGGAACATGTGGTTCCCTTAGCGATTTCGTCAACGGAGGCCTCACCTTGTACCTAGCCAATCCAAGTCTAGCTTAGCTATCATCAATCAGCAACAAAAATCTATCTATAAATCCCATGCAATCCTTGTTTCTTTTGATGAAAAATCACCTTTTTTTCCGATGGTTTTCCTATGGTTTGCCGGGGGCATCTCCCGGCGCCTCGTTCTGCTTCTGCTGACACAACTCCTCCGCCTGACAGGCCTTGGCCTCAGCTTCCGCCAGCGCCGCACGGGCTTCCTGCCTGCGCTGGGGCTGTGCCATGGGGGAGATTTTGATGGTAGGTTTCATGGGAATATACTGGGAATATATGGGTTTAATGGATTTTCATGGGAATATACTGGGAAGAATCATGACTTCATGGGTGCTTTAATGGGACTTCATGTATTTTTGTTTAATGGTGATTTCATGAGAAATTTTGCGAGACAACTGGAAATATCATGGGATAAATTCATGGAATATTAGTTATATAATAGTAGTGATGTATTACTGAAATATACTGAAATATTGATTCATACCCTCCGGTAACATGGCATTGGGACATCCCTGAACTAAATGGAGTTTGATGGGAAAACCATAGAACTAAATGGTGGATTTCCATTCCCAAGTTTGATGAACGGAGGATAAACACAGAAATCCTGGGATAAATGGTGATTTAATGATCATCATTGCCAATCTTAGATACCCTGCAAAAAAATAAATTCTTTGCTGGTGAACGTGGATATTCCCATTGATACCAAAAGACTAGTAAGGATTAGTTTCTACCCATCCAGTCGATTGACCTAGTCATCTGATGGGAACAGAATGGAAAAGATATGTCACCGACAAAAGTTGGGATGAAAATGCTTGGATGTGGGATTTGCCTGACCACAAAATTGTGGCTGAAGGGATTCTGCCAAAAAAAACTCATCGGATGTATCACCGGGATTTGTTTGCAGCAACGGGGTTTTATCATGTGGATATAGTCAATAGCCATTTCAGGAACAGATTGATTGGAGGTACGATACCGGTTTTTTGCCATCTAAAAATTGGTTTTTGCATCAATGAAGAATTGATCTATGGAAATACAGGGTGTATTATGGGGATATTGTGGATTATGGGTATATAATTCACCATAACAAGGATATTCTGGGATATACTGGCGAAGCATCAAACAACTGGATGTTCCAACGAAACTCTTACGGGTGGCCGCATGATGATGGGGTCAACAGTATGGATAGATGGGCTATGTGGGGCTTCATATTGGTTATTTCTTGTCATTCCGGGGCTATCTTTTAAACACAGTATTGGATTCTAATGGCAATACATATCCCATAGGATCCATGGTGCTGGTATATATGCTACATTGGGGGTATATTGATGGTAAATGTTACCATATATAGCATACATGGATCCTATGGGTATTGGGGTCATCATGTGATATATTGGTCACGTGGTTTTTCCCCACATGTGTTATCCTATTTTACAGACCATGCGGCAGCTACCATTGCAATTTATCCTGTGTTTGCGTTGATCAAGGGAATGTAACGGGATACACTGTGATACATTGTGGATATGACGGAAACAAGACGGCGCTATTCTCAAGTCGTGGGTACGATTGTAGACATCATGGAGTTTTGTGGAAATAGCATTCAGGTGTTAGTTAGGGTTCTAATGGGATTAACATAGTAAGCTTTATGATGAAATATGTATCCCGTGTTTGTTGACACTAATCAAGCTAATCTGCCGTAGCAAAGGGTCTTATTGGTTGAGTTTACCACATGAAATAGCGGCTTTCCCAAGTGATTTGTCACAGGCAATTGGTTGGTACCCTCTAGTAAACAAGCAGTTTGCCATGGCATATTAATAGCTGGCCAGAAGATGGTCATTGTCAACTTAAATGGCAAACGCATAGATTACTAGAGGGTAAAACCTAAACTACATAAAACTACTATATTATATATAATGACTGGAATATCTTCCATGATATCCCAATTCCAGGGGATGAGAAACCGTAGATGCACTGCATAAAGGCTGAGGTTCAACCAGTATTTCACCAAAAATCATGTTCAACCAAAAATTAGCACGGAGCTATGAATCAATTCCAGGCTTCTCTGGTGTTCACATGAAAATGTATGCTTGTGATGGATGATTATTGATCTCGAGAATCGGTTTCATGAACACAATTTACAGGACCTCCCGAAATTCACCATCCATCTTACTTCATGTTAGAACTCCGAAACTGTCCAGAGGAATTTCCGCGAATGAGTCACCAAGATTGATCGAGGAACACTAACAACAGTTGTTGAATAAGGCCTTGCACTTCAACTTCGATCTTGGTGGAACATATGCAGATTCAACTGGTCCACGTCGTGGAGTAGCAGGGGTAGCTCGGTCTACGTCCTTCATTTTTGAGGCTAACTCCAATCTGCCCGCACCCCAAGCTACCCGGCCTGGTAAACATACAAAAAACATCAAAAAACTATGGAACATCACTATGCTTTTAATGGGTAAATCAACTGTTTCGACTGGGCCATTTTCAATAGCCATTTTGACATTACCAGAGGCTTGAGTCTCAAGCCTCTGGGAAAGATATTCATCAACATATCGTCAACATATCTTTGAGGATAATGGGATGGGTAAACATTGTTAGCTGCTAACCACATCAATGGGGATATAATTATTATAGATTAGGGGTTATATCAAACATGGTTTATTATATCAAACAAAAAACATTATTTGATATACCCCATACATTATTTGATTAATCATGATTATATAATAATATATATACATATCATATGTAGTCTTGATGGTGATTTCATGGGATTTCATGGTGTCTTCATGAGATTTCACGAACATTAGTCTCCATTAAATCCAACGAAATCACAAATTTAACCAACATGGTGATTTCATGGTGATTTAACATGTTTAACACGTTTTCACCAACATTCATCACATTTAATCACCATGGCCTTCCTTCCGATGAGTCCCCCCATCAGTGCCAATCTTAGATACCTGCAAAAAATGACAGATTCTTTGCTGGTGAACGTAGATAAATCCCATTGATACCAAAAGCATCCCCCATCAAATTTCAGGGGAGACGTTGTGACCCTAACTCTGTATGTTACAAAACATATTCACAAGCTTGGGGCTATAGAATGAGGTTGCTGGGCTCCATTTTTCCCAAAATGGCCTTAGCTACAAAAAAAAAACCTTCGTTTCAACAACCTTGACATAGGGAGGATTTTCCCTTGTTGCAAAATGCCCCTTCGTTTTCAACTGCACATACAAGGACATACCCTTTGCTACAAAATGCTTTGGTTTTGATAAGCTCTGATGAAGCTCATCATGTCATGCTACAAAATGCCACTGCGATTTTCATGATGGGCTAACATGATTAAAACGATTCCGTTGTAAAAATAGATTCAAAGTTTAAACTACAAATCTTGGACCTGGATTTCATGTCACGGTTAGCCTGGCTAAAATGGAAGCCTGTAAGGGGCACAAGGCCACAACCTTTGTTAGCTTAAATTCGTAGGGGGATACAAAAAACTAGGAAGGGGATTAAAGTACCCATCTAAGATTTACCTATGTGATTTGGGGGATGCTTTATAGTTATCCCATAATATTCCCCCATTAATTATCCTATGATTGTCCCACCATTATCCCATTATTATCCTATTTATAGTGGTTTGGGATACTACATTGATTTATGATTGTTTATGATTATTCCATAAATCACCATAAACATAAATTACAATACTTTTAATCTAGCCATTATCTCATTATGTTACCACATGTTGACCTAGATTCCCATAAACCATAGTTAGTGAAGTTATTTGCACCAACTTAGCTATCGTAAATGGGGGCCCCACATTGTAACCTTTGGGGAGTATTCAAGATTCCCCCATTAAGAATTATCCCATTATGTTACCACACGTATATCACCATATACCGTGATCATCCGTCATCACACGTGCTCCTCATCTGCTGGTGGTGCTGCGTGCTCCTCATCTGCTGGTGGTGCTGCGTGTGCAGCTAGTAGTGGGTCTGCGTCCAAGAGTTCGGCCACCTCCATACCGAACTTGATACATATCAATGTACACGTACACGAATCGAAAAGTCTTTCAACAGCTGGTCCTAGCCAAAGATGCCAAAGATCCTGCTCAGGTCGGTACGTCCCAAGTAGCAGAAGCTTTCGGCGTGGCAAGCCGTCGCCACCGTACTCGGCAAACTGACGGATCCCAACATCGGATGCCAGCTGCTCCAAATGAAGATTTCGAATTGTGACGTCATTGGTGCACCTGAAGTCACATTAAATCACCAGTAAATCCCATGGTTTCATCCCAACTAATCAGTTCATTTGCTCCACTATTATCCCCCAGAAAAACTATCCCAGTACTATCCCATGATAATCCCATGGTTTAATGTTTTTTGTTCATTCCATGTTATCCATATTTCCCTAGAATATCCTATAATCATCAACCAACAGAGGTTTCTTATAGTTGTCCCATTATTATCCCATGATTGTCCCACCATCATCCCACTATATCCCATTATTATCCTATTTTTGGTGATTTGGGATACTACATTGATTTATGATTGTTTATGATTATTCCATAAATCACCATAAACATAAATTACCATTAGTGTAACCATTATCCCACAACTGGCTGGTGGTTGAACCTACCCCTCTCAAAAATATGAGTGAAAGTCAGTTGGGATTATCAAATTCCAAACCACCAAATTATTAATTATCACATTATATTACCATATTATATATACAGTATATCACAGAGTTATCCATGGGATCCAAGGGAAACATAAAAAATCATGTTCCAAACCACCAACCAGTGTTTGTTGGTTTATAAACCATTATAATCCCCATTAACTAGTTCGTTATATCTACCATAAACCATAGAATTCATCCACATTTCAAAACCCACCAACCATAGTTATAAGTATCGTTGCCACATACCCATGGCCCGCTGCACACCTGGCTGCCGCGCACCGTCCGTCCTCAGGACGACTCGCCTCACGCGGATCCCGCGCGTCGCGGCTGCGAGAGGCCATGGCGTGGCCTGGCCACGCAGCGGCGAACCATGGGAAGCAGCAAAACCGCAGTAAAACCACAGGAAAACCATCGGAAAATGGTGATTTAACATGATTTAACCAGCAAACAACATGGATTTCATGGGATTTATAGCTTATCTCCGGCTTATGGTTATGAAATAACTAGAGTTGATGGGTTTATAAACCAGCTACAGCAACTGTGTGGGGGCTCACATTGTATTACTGGCTGAATTACAATAAATCGCTAGCGTGAAAATCACCGAAACATGCGGCGCTTTGGGGATGATTGCCCACAATCCAACCATAATTCCAGTGATGTCACGATGTGAGGTCATGATATCAACGGGAATTTCAGGATCCAACAGATGGAGGTACGTTAGTACCATATTTCTGGCCATATTTTCTGGGGATATCCCCTGAAATTTAGGCCTCAAAAATAGACCTTATATATGGAATCGGTACCTCCAATTTTGGAACCTGAAATGGCCATTCATCCATACAATAAATTTCTAAGAGGATGGAAAAGCAAAATCCTACTAACTATAGGGGTAAATCACTTTTCTGTCTATCTTTTTGCGGCTTACTATATATAATAGGCCATCATGGGAAGTTCATGAAACAACATACGGGATCATGAACCCAATCGAACCAAAATATTGAGATATCAGGAAAGAATATCATGGAACAACAGCCCCGAAAGGTGAACCCCCCATGTGACCTTGCTGTTGGTTGTTTTTCGGCCCTTACAAAGCCCAACAAATTATGGGGTGGGTCGCCTGCAAGGGATGCTGGGCACAAATGCATTGTAATCATTTCCGATACAGGGGAAAAGCCCTGACAATAAATATAATGGTGGTAAAACAATCTTATAGGTGGTATGTAGAAACCATTCCCTGTCATGAGTGGTAAACATGACATTGTTTTACGCACATTAGGATAGTAAACAGCAGCAGGCAATCATGATTTCCCAGACCATTCAAGGCGATCTCCTTTGTAGTGACCCCTCGTTTCGAAGTCATTCTGAACCGTTGAAATGGTCACTTACCAAGCCCAAAATCTAAAAAAATGTCAACTGTCCTTATTTACCCGACCCTATGTCCCGACACCATGTTATATCATGTGGTCAGTTTATGCAAAATTTGATGCATTTTCCCTGGGATTTATATCTCAAGCTCCTCCAAAATTTAACCATGAGTAAGTGAAGTTGCACAAAAAAGTAGGGGAAAAGTTGAGGGAAATGGGGTGAAATATGGTGAAATGTTCCCCACCGAACCGCATTCCCACTTTCCAAGATTCCCTAAACTCCTCACCTTACCCAGATCTTGGGGAAATGTCCCAGAAATTGGGGGCGGCTAAACTAAGTGCCCCGTTTAGGTGGTGATTTGGCCACTGAGTCTAACCGACCCCTGCCCCGATGACCACCCCCACATTGTCCAGGAAGAGTAGGGGTCGGTTAGACTAAGTGCCCCGTTTAGGTGGTGATTTGGGCACTTAGTCTAACCGACCCCATCTGACCCCTTAGAAATTGGGGAAATCTGGGAGAATCACCAAATTTGATGGAAATAGTGGACCCGCCAATGCAACACTTGGATGCATAGAGCCAAAACTTGGGGAAATGTGGACAGTTGATTGATAGCTCGCATTACAATGAGCATTCCAAATTATGCATCATGTTGGGAAGCCAACATTATCAAGGTAAACCAGTTAAAACCATCAAAATGCCAAAATGGAAAACATAGGGGTCAGCTCGATAGGGTCAGTTGAAAAAGTCTTAGACAAAATAGTCACTTGAGCTGCCAGGTAATGGTGGTGGTTTCAACTGCCAAACATATGAGAAATCTCAACCAATCATTCCTTTTGCATGGTTGAACAACCAGAAATATTTGAAACCCCCAACCAAATATGAACTGTTTGATGGTGAAGCCATGTGAGCAATCAAAAATACCCTATCCCATCTCAAAAAATACGAAGTGGTTTAATAATAAGTTTTCCTAATATGGCTTCGTTCAAAAAAATCTCAATAATAATCTAGGTTAGTAGAACTCCTTCCAATAACCAATCAACCAGGCTACTTTTAATAGCTCATGTCCGAAAATGATGCAGAATGCAATGCGATGATTCCATCGCTTGGACCCCTGAGGCTCCCAGCCACTTGCAGTCCTAGATGGCTATGTTTCCACCAGTCATCTTCTCGAATTATCATGGGATAATCATGGGATACTGATGAGATATTGATACTATAATTGATGGGACATCAATATGTATTAATGGGATAATATTAGTGGGAATGGGATATTGATGGGAGAGTGATGAGATATTGATGGGACACATGATACGGGATATTAATGTGATTAATGACATTTAGTGACATATTGGTGAATACCCTCGGCAATCAAGCATGGCTTGCTGGAAATTGCACAGCAATAGTTCGATTTTCCCAGCTATAAACCTCCATGTATGAAATTTATGAGGGGAGTTCCCAGCTAGCCATGTTTGATTACCCGAATATTCAATTGAGCACCAGTAATCTTTTGGGTTTTATTTTTGTAAACTCTCAGAGAAAACAATTTGGATGTGCATCCCAAACAACATGTGTACTGACTGGGACACCCATGCCCTCATGGCTGGAGAATTTCAATCAGCGACTCCGAAGGTAATAGTCACAGTAAGTGGTTGGTTTTGCCAAGTCGGGAAAACTACTGAGATGATAATACACAGTTTTAACCAAAGTTAGTGAACAAACCCAGTCTTTCTGCTTGGTTCATCAAATGTAGTTCAGGATCATACATCAAGCCTTGTATTCTTCTCTAAAAAATCCAAGTAAATTACACAAGCCAATAAAATCCAAAAAACTGATGATTTGTTTATCGAATTTGGGCTTTAAATATACATATATATATATATATATCACACACATATACATATATATATATATATATCACACATATACATATATATATATATAAACTAAATAGAATATATTCATTATAATCTATAGTCATCAACCAGGACCAGAATCAACCAACGTTTTCTTCAAAACTGCTCAGCTCCAACGGCTGTTTCGAAAGAAACACGGTCTCCTGTCGTCTCTTCTTCTCTCCTGTCGCGGTGACGAGACACAAACACGAGATGTGCAAAGAAACTGGAGTATGACAAATACAAATAAATTGTGTATATATATATCATATGGGATAATTAATAATTATTAACATTGTTTTATCATATATATATATACAATCATCCTGAAGTAGAAAGAATATGAACATGTCAGTCCAAATCATCACTATACATGGGAATATGATTGAACATTTGGCTCACCAGGATATATGACCGGCAGTGGCGACCGCGGGGTGAACAACCACTGCAAAATTCTGTGGTAATTTGACAGTTTGCTGTGGAAAAAATACAATCTCATAGATGAACTATAACATTCAAGGTATTTGGAGCTATTAGCACGGTAAATCAACTACTTCTATGGACCATTTTCATCCATTTTCCATAGCAAACTGTTGAACAATCAGAGGGTACTGCATCTTTATTTTCCGTTGTCTAAACATGAGGTCCTCCGAATTTCAGGCTTCATTGAGTTAAAGATCAATCAGCTCATTTTCCCTTAAGACATCATGTCTGCAATGTGGGGGCCCCCAGTTTTGTTTGATGGTTTTAAACTTCATGAATACTATAGTTATTTGCGTATCAGAAACCATAGTTATTGGAGTTATAAATGCACCAACTTGTGCCCTTTGGGGAGTATTCAAGATTCCCCCATTTTCAAACACAGAGGCTCCGACCTGGCTGACAGTGACAGGCAGTGCCCCAGTTCGGAAATGTGAGCTTGGGTTGTAACTTCATATAGGGTGTACGATGATTCATGGTAGACATACATTATATATATATAGCATAATTCTATACAAAGTATACTTAATTACTTATAACATTACTTTCTCAATGGGGTGCTGTAGATATCTATGCCCTCTTCAACTTACCGAAATCCTGTGCCTTCCCTGCTCTGCCTCGTGACGGGCAACGTCGCGTTCGTCGCGCCGATCGTCTCGCCGATCGTCGTGGCGTTCGTCGCGGCGCTCGTCGCGACGTTCGTCGCGGCGCTCGTCGCGTCCATCGCCGCGCCTAGATGGTCCGCGAAATTTGAAAATAATGTGGTTAAAACAATATTAATCCCCCCCAAATCACCATAAATAATTAGATGCTTTATCATTGTTTTACCCACATTAATGTGTTTTTCCTGCGTTGCTTTTGAGGATTGTGTATGTTGTGCATGTTTTCTTGTGTGTGTTGTGCATGTTTTCTTGTTGTTTATACATTTTAAATCATTCTAATACGTACAATACACAATCAAATATCGGCGAATTCTGAATACCTTTGGGGGTGGTCGTCATTGAGCCCGTAAATGCCCATAACATTCATAAATGTCATCGTAAAAGTGCGCGTGCACAAATAAACTAGGTGCTTCGGCAGTATTACCGTGAATGGATGATATCTAGGTGGATTCTTTCTCGTTACTGCTGGGTTTCAAGCCTTTATGACCAGCCTAACAGATCTAACAGATTCAAAACATGGTTTATAATTACTTGAAACTTGAAAATACCTGGTTGGTGGTTTTAACCATCTTGAACAATATTAGTCAATGGGAAGGATGACATCCCATATATTATGGAAAATAAAATTCATGTTTGAAACCACCAACCAGATACATATTTGGACAACCGTAGATTGTTGTCAATCATGGAATTTCATCATGGCTCAATCTGTTTCTTAAGTTGGTAAAAATGTCACGGACGTCCTTGGTGGATGGTCCATGAGCCAACATGGATGGATTCCAAATGGGATGACTTTAATAAAGATCCAGTGATATCCATAAATAATCATAAATAAACATCCATAAGCCAAAGAAATTCGCACAAAACTTGACCACGGCATATATTATATCATATGATAAGGATATAACTTGCAAACCTTGGGGGTGGTCGATGTTTGATGTT